TTGGTAGACACAGATTTGTCGGTGATTACTACAGGCCTCCATGTAGTCCAGAGATATTAAAAGTAAACTAGTCAGTTGGAGTTAAAAGCCTACCTCCAAAGCCCTTCTTAGGCCTGATAATGACTGTTATGTGGCAGTGACTAGACCTCAAGACAAAAGTAAAGATGTTTAGAATCAACCTGTCACTGTTAGTGCAACCTGTTGCACCTTCACCGTGGCCATGGGCTTTGTCAGGAGCCTGGTTGCATGAAAGCCTTTTTTACTCTTCACTTTAAGATTCCCTATTTTGAGAAGAATGGCCTGGCAGACGGAAGCATCCATTTGAAACAGGACAGCCACAGCTTCTCCAGTGCAGTGGCTGGGAAGTCAGCAAACTTTAGCGGGGAATGGACAATGCTTTGTCATCACTGATTTTCAGGTTCAGCCCTAGGATGATATTGTTCTGAGGGATTTTTTCATGCAGAAGTTGTTTACCTTATTGCCTATGTATTTTCAAAGCAGCAGGTCACATAGAACTTCTCTTGTATTTTGTACTGGGGGAATCACAATTTTCATGGTTCAGAGCTATTTTTTGTGTGTGATTAGAAAGTGTTTGTGGATTGAGTTTAGATTTTACAGAAGAATGATTTCTTTATCTAGTTCAAGGAGCTCTGTAAAAATCATGCAAGAGTCAAAATCTTTGCCTGAAGGTGCCAGCAGTTGTTATAGTGTACCAAAAAAAATTATGACACGGAAGCAAATGCACAATCTGCCAATAAAAGCAGAATACCCATTTGTGTGTCTTTTAGCATTTATAAGTTTCTATCAAAAATACTCTCACTGAATATTTTACACTGCTAGGGGGAGAAAGGTGTATGTGTTGAAGAGGAACATGAAAGGGCAGGTGGAGATGTGTAATGTTCTGGGGCTGCAGGATCATGTCCAGGGAGGCTACAGTTACCAGTGACCAACTTGGGGCTCAACGAGACAGGGTTCTGCTCAGAAAACCATTTATTCAACACAGGAACAAAAACCCATCTTAGATCCAGAGACAGAGAACCCCAAAGGAAGCAGGGTGGTGGGTTTTATGGGACAGAACCAGGGTGGAGTTTAAGGTTAATTATGTCTAATAGGAACATAGCAAGGGAGAAACCACAGGGGCACAAACCGAATCAGAACACCCTGGGCTGCCACCCCACGAGGGTCCAGGGTGGGGCAACTCTTCCTGGGCTCACAGGGCCCATCCCCTGAGGCAGAGGATGGAATCCACTCTTCCCAGACTTTACAGCCGTGCCTCTCACTTGAGCAACACTTATCTGAAACTAAATCTTTGCCTCCCTGTGTGGGGGCATCTCACAGGGATGGATTCCAGCTTTGATGGATGGCACAGGAGACATCACCACACATGTGATTGTCCCAGGGTCTCTGTGTTGTGTTCTGCACTCTCCTGGGAACTGGTGAGGAGATACTGGGAGCACCCTTAGTGGCAAAGACCATGGCTGACTTCAGGCTGTTAGGGAAATGCATTAATTGCAAATCTCAAATAACTTAATAATTTTGGTAAATGAGTGGTGATCAGATCTTACACAAAACCAGATTATCTTGCCATAATACAGCTCTGCAAACTATCAAGAATATGAGAAAGTTACACAGAGTTAAAATGTGGTTTAGGCACATGTAAAGGTTTATGTCTCTTTATTGGCAGATGGAAGCTGAGGATGATGTCTTGGTATCAAATGAAATGTGGTGATAAAGGACCTCTAACTGAATGGTTGGGGCTTCTTCATGAGGCCACTCATTACAAAAATTTTTGCAGTAGGAAAAAAAGAATCAAAGAGTTTTATTAGGTGAATAAAAAAACCTTAAAGTTAGCTAAAAAAACATTCCAAGGGTAGGACTGCTGCAGTATAAAGAAGGAATTTAACTATGTAGAGCTCATTAAAAAGGAGTCAGATGTCTATAAAAGACATTAATTTCTTGCTGCATTTGAAATTTCAATTAGACTATATTATATTTATATATATTACTGCTTTTTGCTTGATTTCTGCAAGTTTCTAAAGTCTATTTAAATAATTTCCAAATATTTTTCTTTTTTTTTTTTTGGTCTATACTGAAGTTTCAGCCTCTGGACTATCTCACATTATTCTCTATCATCACCTGGGCATTTATTCTGTCTTTTTTACTTAGGGTCTGGCAATACTCTATGAAAGAATATGTTTAAATTTAGAAAATGTATTTTTGAATACATTCACAATACGAAATTGTATAGATACAGACACCTTTTTGCTGTGATATACCTTACGGGACAAACAACACAAACTGTCATATTTAACCTTTTGTGAAATGAAAATGTAAAATTCATTGGAAGCTTTTGGCTTGCATAACTAGGAAAAATACTCTAGTGTCATTTACCTAATTTTACATATTCAAGTCATTAAAGAACGAGGAAAAATGTTTTCTCCTAAGAAATATTGATTACTTTAATTTTAGAAAATACAGACTGGAAAAAGTCATGTTACTTAAGCTTGGGAAGAATAATACATAAATAAATGAAATATTATTAGAGATTAGTTAAAAAGCCCCTTAAGAAAGCTCTAACAGATTGAGGGAAGAGTAGTGATAAGAAGAGTAATTAGGTGGGATAGATGTCTTTAACAAACCACCACACCTTTCAGATGAGATTTTCAAAGAGTGTGATGGCTTTTGGGAATTGTGGGCTCTCGGAGCAGCCGCTCAGCTGCCTGGGGCTGGACGTCATCACATGTCCCTGAGAAACTACAAGGAGGTCTTTGTATTGCCTGTGGCTGGGATGGGGAGGATACATTGACTTCTGTCAGCTCCAGAAAACCTGGTAAGCCCCCACCCTTTAGAGGGAAGAAATAAAGGGCAAAAGGTCATGTTTTTATTGCCAGTCAAAGTTTGACAAGTTGAAGTCGCATGTTGATACAAACAGCAAAATATGGAAAATATTGGGTTGTTCATGTATAGCCTACCCACGTGTTTACAAGTATTTCAATATCTAGTCCTTGTACTTGTATTTCTTACTCAAGTGCACTCTTGCCCCTATATTTATTGAAAATTGATTCTGAAGAATATCAGTAAATATTTCATTTTTATGATTTTTTTTCTTTAATTTAAATTAGTATGAGCTCCTCATCTTCTGGTGGAATGTCAGCAATCAGAAATGGTGCTTGAATAAACACGGCAGTAATTTATGTAATACCCTGGCAGTCTCAGGTATTCAAGCACTGTCCAGTGTTCCTTCCACTAGACAGATTTCAAAAGCTGGCTTCTGTATTTCACACCTGCAAACTACAGCAATATTTAGTTGGAAGTGCCATGTGTCTGCAATTAATTCTGATTGCAGAAGTGAAATCTGGCCTCATGCATCAAAGAGCTTGGAGGCCATTTCTCTGATTATTTGCTCAGCTGACTGTGTTTGATCAGAGTTGATGTCCTTAGTGGTACAGAAGGGCTGACATACTTACAGGAACATGAGTGCATTACTAATTGCCAACACAGTGCAGAATAAATAAGTCTGCAGCTTTTCCTTATTTTATTTTATTTATTTATTTATTTATTTTTAGGTTTTTTTAGTGCTTGTTGGAGCATTGGTTGATTCCCTGTGTTCCATCTGGCAACATTACATTATATTTAAGCTCTATGGGAACAAGGCTCTGATTTATATTTCAAAGGTATTTACCTTGTTGTTTTGTGACCCTTTTCATTTTGTGGCCTGCAACTTCCTGGGACAAACTGCATCCAAACTAATTGCCAGTCTCAGGTCTTATGGTCATATTACAGTTTCTTTGTCCCTTGTGGATAAAGATTTTCTGAACAAGTCCTGTTGAAATCCCTCTGTGCAGTTACATCCAGTTTGTTTCAACTCTTTTGGCTTCTCATGGAATTTCCTTTCCCTTGAACTCTGTTTATAGTGGATACACATTGCTTTGATTTAATGCCTATTTTCTATTTAGCCTGATGAAATTAAAATAAAAAAATAAAGCATAAAAAAATGTGGAGGGCTTACCAGAACAAATGTTTAGTATTAGGACTGGTTGGTACCCAGAGTTGTGGGACTGATCACATGGTTAAGACGCTCAGAATTAAGTGCCTGAACCTGTATATTTTGTTGGGATATGTACAATACTGCTTTACTGGTAGCCCTACATTTTTCACACCATGTGGATCTAATAGTAATGACAGTGTCAGTTTCATAGCATCGTGAGAAGAAGAAGATGAAAAAAGGTGCACCAAGCAACAGCAGATACCATGTTGTGCTGTTGTCACCTACTGACAAGTCTAGGAGTGGCCAGGAAAAAACACACCCAGCGCACAGCATAGAAACAGCAGTTAATATCCATAAAGGTAACAGTAATTGCAGAGGTTTTATAAGGATCTGGATTGGTATGATGCACCTCTAGATGTCACTGCAACATTGTAAAATGTAGGTAAAAGAAGGGTATGAAGCTGAAGTTAGGGCTTGTACGCTCCAATTCCTGGTTACTGTCTCAGTCAGCCCTTAATAAATCATTGAATCATTAAAGAAGTCATTACCAAATGTTGATTAAACAGCAAGGAACTTTTTGGTAAGTGTCAGTAAGATTGTTACTGAACATTTTACTGGAATATTAAATATTCTGAGATTTGGTTTAATCTAGTTTTTAACAGCAAAAGCTAGGGCAGGGAAGCAGCTGATTCTTGGATGCCTCTGGTTTAGTCTCTGAGGTTCAGTCCTAAACTTTTCTAGGTTGTTTTTATGCCAACACTGATGCTGATTACAACCAAGATAATTTCTCTTGCTTTGCACTGTTATCAATTCAGTTGGCTTGTAGTGATTAAAATAAGGACCACCATTTATAGGAAATGTGTGAGTTAGAACACAGAGTATTTGCATTTGACAAAAAAACAACAAAACAAAAAAATTAAAAAAAATAAAAATCAGGCTGCGATTCCATGAGGACCAATGCAACAATGCACACTCTATAAATTGACTAATCTGTCAGTTTCTTTCTCCACAGGTCATCAAAGAAAAGTCACATTTCAATGAAACAGAAACAAAAGAAAAGAAGCCACCCGATTCGACAGGTTAGTCTATTTTTTTCTCTGATCAACTTCTAGTTCCTAAGAAATAAGACAGAAATAGCCATGAATTTCCCGAGCAATTCCAGTGAAGTTGTTTGGGCTACATGTGTGTTCATCAGCATTAGTGAGCACAGGGTATCCAGCTGCTCAATAAGGTGTTTTGCATGAGGAGTTTATTAACCTTGACTTGGCTGACAATAACTTCAAGTAAGAAAAGCATTTTCTAATGCTGTGTCTTAAAGAAAGCACATCAGACCCATGAAATCAGAGTTTGAAATAAGTAGTCTGCTCTTGCTTAGGAGACACTTGTACTGACCTTGAAAGTGGGAGAGGAAAGCAAATACCTAGTTGAAAATTCAACAGAAGTTACACTAAGTGTGCAGCCCCAATTTAAAACTGTTACTGACTACAAGAAAACCACTGACAGATTACTTTGTAATCTCTTATAGATGGGGACATCCAGCAGGGTCAGTCCTGCTCTCAGGAAGAAGTTGATAAGCTCAACAAGGAAAATGCCAAGAGGGAAAGTTCTGTTCTGCTTGAAGTGGATCCTCCCAGATTTCATACTGAAGAGTCAGAGGAGAAAAAAGAAAGTTTGTCTTTAGAAAGTCATTATGAATATAGGAGAAACTCTTTTCAGGAATCCTTCGCTCCACAAAAGCAGCAGGAAGAAGATGCTGTTGATGATGCTTGTCAAAAACTAACTGTGCAGGAGATAGAGAGTGAGTCCCCAGCAGATGAGGAGGAGAAGAAGGAACATCAGGTGCCTGAAGATGCACTTGAGAAACAACAAGAGGAGAAAGAGAATGAAGGGGAAGAAAATGCTGATAAGAGTGAAAAAGGTGCTGAGGAACCACCAGCTCCTTCCCAAAAGGAAGATGAGGCAGAACAAAGTGATGATGAAGAGGTACCAGAGGGAAGGTAAGGTCTGAGACTCAAACTACACATTCTGAAGAAACCCTTGCTTCAGAAAAATGTGTACTTCGAGCTTCAAGTCAAAGTGGCTGATTAATCTAAGTATTAGTGAAAATTTAGCTCAATACAAAAGTTTATGTCTCTGATCTAAGTTAAATTATACTCTTAAATAAGACAGGCAAACAATCCACCACACATGGTACTAGCAGCGTGCTATGGTTGTTTGCTTGGGAAATATGTTAAGAACATGGAAATTATATTATGCTATTCTTTATCTCTGAGGAGAATTCTCCCATAGTTATGTTTATATAGTGAAATGTCACATAACATCAGCAAAATAGATTAAGCCATCTGCCAACTGGTAATTAACTTACTGCAAATGTAGTAACTTAAAGGACAACATAAAAATGTGAACATTTACCCAGGCACTTGACCTAATAAATTTGTTTACTTCAATTCTTTCTTTGTTGGATTTAATATATTGCCTTTCAGGGATAAACAGCTTTAAGCTCTCAGGAACCTGTATGAACAAAGGAAAATTCCAATGTTCTCCCCTTGATTTAAAGGCAAGATCGATAGCCTAATGTCAAGTTTAGAAGAACTCAGATGAGGTTTTCAATAACTGAGAAATATGTCATGATTAATTTAAGCCATTTTTATTTCTCAATGTGAATATTAAACCAGTTAATTTTACACCATGAAACAAAATAGCTTATTGTTATTTTAATGCAATATCCGTGTAAGCATTTTTTCACCTATGTTTCTAAGGTTGCTCTGCTTTAAGTGTACTCTGCACTAATACCATGTTTTGTCCTTGCAGGTGTAAAAGCTGCGAAAAAGGTACAGGAAATTCTAGTTCAATCCCTGGGCAGACCTGCTAGTTTGAGCATAGTGGTAGCAGTGAGCATCGAGTGCATGATGAAGGTCTAGTCAAAGATGACAACAAAAAGAGCAGAGTAGTTGCAGAAAATGCTGATGGCATATGTAAAACTATAAAAAGTTCTTGTTCTTAAAGGAAGTATCCTAAAGGCAAAGCATTTGATTCCCCTGGTATTACAGTGATGAACTGTAAGACAGAGATCTGTGGAAGAGAATGATTTCATTATTCTAATTGGTAGGGGGAAAAAGTGTGCATGATAACTCTGATGTGAAACAGTTTTTTCATGGACTGCGTCTTAAGCTGATGAGGATGATTCTGCTTGCTTTCATATTAGAAGCTTCTTCTCTGTCAGAAATAATTAAAAATTAATTTGCTTCTGCCACAACTACTCCACTAACACTATCCTCTCTCCCTCTTTTAACAAAAGAGCTAAAATCCCTAAGTATAGAGTGGAGGGAGAAATTATGTCAGGTGTGGTAAAGTTGGTCAGCCTGTGGAAGTGTTGAGAATGTGTGTTAACAGGGAATCTGCAATGCTGTGGACATAGCCTGAAAAACCAGCTTGCTGATATTCATACCATTGTAATCTGAAGTGAGAACAACTGGAGGCTACAAAGTAAAGAAATACAGACTTTTTTGTGGAAGCCTGAGTGGTGCTGTTGAACAGTCAGATAAATGGTGCTCAGGCACCTAACTCTGAAGCAGTGCTCACCATGGTGAGGCAGAGATTTCTAATATTAGACTTCCATCTTGAGAATTTCAGTGCCTATTCCTGTATATGAAATTATGCCATGTGAAGAGGTGGCCTGAAAGACTTGGAAATTTATCCATGTGCTTGTGCATGTGCATACACAGGACTCAAGATTAATTCATCTGCTTTGGGAAATGGGGGGAAGAGTGTAGGAGGGAAACATTTCTTACAGGTTTGTGCTAGGTTTTTTGTAGCAGAAAACAGGAGATAGCACACTGAAACTTTAAAATCCATAAACTGTTCTGAGCTCTGTGAGATTGTTATGGATGATGTTAAGGTTATAGTGTCTCTGTTGGAGCATCTTTGATCTGTAATAGGAAATTGTTCTTGAATAGGGAGAAATCCCCTCTGGTTTACACGAAAAGAAGAATAGAGGGTCTGTCATGGGGAACATCTTGATGGCAAAAACTTAAACATAGTTTTGAAAAGCAGTCTGGCATTTTTAAAGGAATATTTCCTTGCACAAAGTTTGGTAATGTTTTCAGCTGAGCTTTCAGAAAGACCTTTTCTTCTGTTACTTACATGCTGGTGCTGATGGAGTTTGTGTAGTTAGAGTTAAATTTTGCCTTAGGTTAGAGGTTTTCTTGGCGTTTTGTGGGTCTCAGTAACGTGCAAAGACCCATACTTACAGTCATGCAATTCAAACTCTGCTGAATCCCAAGTAGGTGGCAAACTTCCAGAAGCCCCAGCTTTTCACAATTCCTTGACCATGAACTAACTTCCTGACCATGTAAGTTATTAGCACTGTCAAAAAAAAAAAAAAAATATAGGTACACAGCTGGTGTCCTGGAAAAATGGACATTGACTGTGAATAAGGACAATCTACTGCCACATTAATGACCAGAGTGTTCCTGCCAGCTACATGCTGTCATGGGGTTTCTTGTTTGTGTTTTTGATCATTTTCACTGAAGTAATGAATGGTTTTAAAATTGCTCAACAAACCTCACACAAAAAGGAGCTGGCATTCCAAACCAGAAAGCTCATATTGAAACACTGGGGCTGTAGCCCTCCCAAATGGTTGAAGAAGTATGTGTCACCTTGGTCAGCCAAAGGTCACTCTTGGGAGTATCAATCAAATGAAAAACAATGTGGGTATGAAATTGAAGTCCCAACAGCCTGCAAAAATTCCAAATTAGGCATGGAGGGCTGGTCTCCAGCAGGGATTTTGACATCACGATGGCAGAAAGGTCCAGTATGTGTAGATCCAGAAAGTAACACCCAGTAAGACCTGTCAAAACTCCGTAGCTAATGTAGTGCAATGTTGGGAACCATTCCTTTTCTGTGCCCCTCTTTACCTTTTACCTGCCATCTTTTTTTAAGGCCAGAAATTCTTCAGAGCAGCACATGACAGTTACCATGTGTTCTAAGCCATGCTAGAAACTCCAAGTGCTGTCTGCCAGGGTGAAATTCCCTCATGTGCACAAGTTCTAAATGCAGTCTATAAAGGTGATGACCACACTGTGGACAAGGACACATTTTGTCAATTGGCTGAGAAGGGGATTCTTCACTCTCCACAACAATAGCTGAGAAATAGTCTCCTTTAGCTGGGCCTGCAGGAGAAATGTTTCTCTTCCTACCCCACTGGAGAGTTACAGTACATACTCACCTATTAATAGTCCCTGAGGAGGAAAAATATTTTTAAAAATCAGAGATCAGGCTGAATTGCAGAGGCCCATTGTGAGTATGAAGCTACATTGGCACAGTCTAGTGGTCTTCACTTTGCCAACTGTTGTATGAAAGATGATAACTTAAAAAAGGAGTCCTTGTCTTGGGAGAGTAGGTCCCCAACAACAACCTCTTTTTCTGAGCCAGAGCTTCTGAAATACAACCCTTTTTCCATAATAGAGAAAGACCTATCTATAAAGTATAGAGTAAGTGTGTTCAGTTCTTAAATGAACTTATGTGGGGAAAAGAGGAACTAAAATATGGGATAGACAAGCACTGCATGTGACCACTGATATGTTCTCTGTCTGTTTTGTCTTTTTTAGATGATATTCCTACTCCACCAGCACCATTTGATCACCGGATTGTCTCAGCCAAAAGGGTGGGGATCAGCAATTATTACAATGTCAATGAGGATGAAATTCTGGGAGGGTAAGTCAGGTGAACTAAATCAACTTGGAAAACAAGGCATGGATTTACAGCTAAGCACCCTGGGAGGTGAATGTGAGGCAACGTGCTCCACTAGAGCCGAAGCCATGAAAGTCAGAGCTCCTACAGTGCTTTGTAATGGGATTAAAAGGGGAGGCTGGTTTTACAAAATGAGTGAATTTTGGCTTACTATATGGCACCAGCAGACTTGGCCTGTGTTTGGCATTGTTCTATGCCAGCCAGATGCCCCTAGGCTTTATGACAGGGGTCCTAGGACACTGAAATACTTTACCTCAGATTACAGCCAGTGGTATGTAGACACATACTGTAGTCTTCTTCCTCTCCATGAATCTCACTGCTGAAAACACGTGCATGTTTTCAGATAGATTAGTGGGCTGATCTGACAGGCCGTGCAGTTACTTATCTCTCATGCTGACATTATTTAGGGGAGTGGGATATTGTAACTTTCATGGCAGCAGCGTACCAGCGTATTCTTGGGTAAAGCTTTGTTTCATCAAGAAATCACAACCTTCCCATGGAGGAGAACAATGTGATGGAGAGGGGCAGATGGTGCACAGAACTGAGTCATTATCCTTACAGAATATCCTTGACCTTCCTGGGATTAGTTGTTGCAGGTTATGAGGTGAGTATAGTAAATCATACAAATGGGGTAGTACCAGATAGAACAGTGTGTGATGTTAGTGTGCCTAAATGAGTAGTAGCAAGTACAAGCTATACCATGAAATAGCAACAACAGAGCAACTGAAATGAAAGCCAGTAGGGAGAGGATAATTTAAGCTTCTTTATAGCATAGTTCACACTCAGAGTTGACACCTGTACCACTGGATGATGTTTGTTTCTCCTTTTCTCTAGAGGGCGATTTGGGCAAGTGCACAAATGTGAAGAGAAAGCAACAGGTCTCAAGCTGGCAGCCAAAATTATAAAAGCACAAGGTCCAAAGCAGAAGGTTGGTAGAAAATTATATTAGTCTTTTGTTCCCCAATGGGTCACATACTGTTCTTCAGTTACAGTTCAGCTACACAAAAGGCCAGAAGTGTCTCACAAACCATCACACTCATAGGACCTGCTGGAATACCATTAATTCCAGTTCTATTTCCCTTTTCCTCCAAAACTTCTAGTAGCTCATCAAAGTACTATTTTTGGGTGTTTTCTGCCGCTTTTAAATCTTACGTTATTATTTTTTTATCTCTGTTGCTAATTCTATTAATGTTTTCTTTAATGGTAAAAATATTTGTCATGTCTGTGACAAAACCATTTGTCAGGCCTGTGTTTCATCCCAAGCACACTGTAGCCTTTGCTGCAATGACTTGATGTCAGTGGGGAGGATGCTGATAACAGACATGATTTGGTTACCTGACATCAACACAAATACAGATGAGAGGAATTAGTCTGGGGTGTCTTACAAACCTCTTGGCCATCTGGGACTGGCTTTCACAGGAAAGACATGCACAACATCCTTTGTGTGACATCGGTGTCATTAAGGGCATTCAGGAGTGGGATTTGTCTCAGGTAAATGGGGTTGCTAAGATATAGCTGTGGCTAAGCTGATCTCCAAAAATCCCTTTATGGTGAATAGAGAGAAACTGGCATCATCAGAGAATGATTCAGCATGTCTAAAATAGTTGGGTTGAATGGAGGTCTCTCTCCTCTGACTGCAAAGTTAGGTTTTGAGGATGGTCCTGGACTCCTCTCAGCTTGATTTTTGTACACCTGCAGCTGTTTGAACAAAATCCTCCTCTGCTTCTCTTTTTCCTTTATGTCCCTGGGAGCCTGCCACTTGTCCATGTGGGCTCTCCTCTTCCTTTTCCAGTAAATATCTTATTACTGAAACTATTATCACCCCACTGAAGCTCTGAGTTCAGTCTGTTAGTTCCTATGGCTTTGACATCTACTGCTGCAGGAGCTCTGAGTTTGGTTGCCTCAAGAGAAAACATGAAGATAATGTAGATTTGCTTCAAACATAGCTTTCTTAGGAAAAAAGTCATCTGAAGCAATACTCATGGTTCTTTACAGGATGAAGTAAAAAATGAAATTAATGTCATGAACCAGCTGAATCATGTGAACCTCATCCAGCTATATGATGCCTTTGAATCTAAAAATGACATTGTACTTGTCATGGAATAGTAAGTGTGTCCCTTCCCTTCCCTTCCCTTCCCTTCCCTTCCCTTCCCTTCCCTTCCCTTCC